CTCAGGCTGATTTTGTTGGTCAGTCATTTGTAGATCACCCGTGGGGTCTGCGCAGGGTGGTGCACAAGTATGCGGTTCATCCATATGATACTGGTCAACCATTTGCAAATCCCTCGTGGGGTCTACGCCATGCGGGATTAAATGCAGTCCAAGCAGATCATGTTCCAGTCCCTCAGCGTTCGGGGCCACACAGGGTAGGGCACAAGTATGCGGTTCATCCATATGATCCTGGTCAGCCATTTGCAAATCTCCCGTGTGGTCTATGCCTTGCGGGGTTAAATGCAGTCCGAGCTGATCATGTCCCAGGCCCTCRGCGTTCGGGGCCACATCGTGAGTAGGGACTATCGTTGGGAGTGTACTCTGGGCAGGGACCATATCCTGTTGCACARCTGGGGGACAAACGAACATGGAAGGGCATAAAACATGGTGCTGTGGCTGTGTGCAAGCAGYTGGACTGTCTGCAGGAGGCATAGGAGCGGATGTATCCGTTTGGGACAACGGAACCGCAACAACCCGTGGAGGAGGCACATAGAGAATTGGGGTGGATAAAGAAGCAGGCCGCTGATCCCTGGCCAAGTGGCGATGTTGTGCATGTCGTCGACGATGATACACAATAAGAGGAGTGGCGATGTTTCTAACAGAAGATGTCACTGGCAATGAAGGTGGAACAATGGGAAGAATAGAAACCGGAAAATCGGTTCTCAAACGAGACCGTGGAGGAGATGGGGGTGGCGAGGAGGAACGCAGCCGTCTGCGGCCAAGCACAGAAAGGGATGAAAGGGGGGTGGATTCGGCAAGATGTCGGAACATAGGACGCGAGTGTCGGGCTGGGGTAGAGGAAGCTGTACCAGTAAAAACTATAGCATGAGAAATTCGAGGTACAAAAGCAGAGGAAGTGGTAAAAAGTGGAACCGCAGCAGAGACAAGTGTTGTAGTAGGAACCGCAGCAGAGGCAACTTCCGTAGCAAGGACCGCAGCGGAGGCAACTTCCGTAGCAAAAACTGCTGGAGTGAAACCCGGAGTTGAATCAGCAGCAGTAGAAACTGCAATAGTGGAGACCACAGCGGCAGCAGCAGTGGAGACCACAGCGGTGGAAGCGGCGGCGGTGGGAACCGCAACAGTGGGAACTTTATTAGCAGCAGATGAACAAGCAGTGACAGGACGAGCAGCGGAGGCAACTTCCGTAGCAGAAACTGCTGGAGTGAAACCCGGAGTTGAAACAGCAGCAGTAGAAACTGCAGCAGTGGAGACCACAATGGTGGAAGCGGCGGCGGTGGGAACCGCAACAGAGGGAACTGCATTAGCAGCAGATGAACAAGCAGTGACAGGACGAGCGCGATGTGGGGATAAAG